CCGGAATTGCCCTCGCAATTAATTCTCAAGACCAATCTTAGATATTTTTTTGTGGCTCCCTCTGTTATTGACAATTGATGAAATAATTTTTGTAAGATGTAAACGACCCCAATAACTGATGTCCAACACAAATAAGTCCCAAAATTTAACGCCTAGGATTTTTAATCCGATTAATTTTTCTGTCATTTTTAGTTGTTGCTTCAGAGTCAAATTGTCATTGACAATTAATAAAGTAATTTTTTTTAGATACATATTATCTTTGAAATTCATGTCAAGTTGAAAAAAGTCCCAAAATATATATGTCCGGAATTGCCCTCGCAATTAATTCTCAAGACCAATCTTAGATATTTTTTTGTGGCTCCCTCTATTATTGACAATTGATGAAATAATTTTTGTAAGATGTAAACGACCCCAATAACTGATGTCCAACACAAATAAGTCCCAAAATTTAACGCCTAGGATTTTTAATCCGATTAATTTTTCTGTCATTTTTAGTTGTTGCTTCAGAGTCAAATTGTCATTGACAATTAATAAAGTAATTTTTTTTAGATACATATTATCTTTGAAATTCATGTCAAGTTGAAAAAAGTCCCAAAATATATATGTCCGGAATTGCCCTCGCAATTAATTCTCAAGACCAATCTTAGATATTTTTTTGTGGCTCCCTCTATTATTGACAGTTGATGAAATAATTTTTGTAAGGTGTAAACGACCCCACTAACTGATGTCAAACACAAATAAGTCCCAAAATTTTACGCCTAGAATTTCTATTTCGATTAATTCCTTGGGCCTCTTTAGTTTTCGCTCGAGAGTCCAATTGTCATTGACAATTAATAAAGTTATTTTTTTTAGATACATACTTTCTCCAAAATTAATGTCAAGTCGAAAAAAGTCCCAAAATTATACGCCCGGAATTGCCCTCGCAATCAATTCTGAAGGCCCAATCTTATACATTTTTTTATTGCTCCCTATATTATTGACAATTGATGAAATAAGTTTTATAAGGTGTAAACGACCCCAATAACTGATGTCCAACACAAATAAGTCCCAAAATTTAACGCCTAGGATTTTTAATCCGATTAATTTTTCTGTCATTTTTAGTTGTTGCTTCAGAGTCAAATTGTCATTGACCATTAATAAATTAATTTTTTTTAGATATATATTATCTCTAAAATTAATGTCAAGTCGAAAAAAGTCCCAAAATTATACGCCCCAAATTACCCTCGAAATAAATTCTGAAGGCCCAATCTTTGATATTTTTTCATGACTTCCACCGTCGTCGACCCTAATTGAATTATTTTTTTTAGACGTCTACAACCCCTAAAATTGATATTTTACTAAAAAAAGTTCAAGTAATATACGTCTCTATTTTGTATCTGTAATGTCTCTGTATTATTTCTAAAGGTCGAGTTTAAATATTCTTTCATGACTCCCTCTGTCGTCGACAATCAATTAATTTACTCATTAGTAGACAACCTTAAACATTGATGTTAAATCCATATAAGTCCGAAAATTATACGCCCGAAATTTTTGTCCCAATTAGTTTCTTGGAACGACTAAAAGTTTTATTTCAATTAATTCTCTGGGCCTATTTTAGATTTTTTTCCTGACTCCCTTTTAACGTCGACGATCGATCAATTTTTTTTGACATTCCAAAAGTGCATGAAATTAATGTGAATTTAAAAAAAATCCCTAAATTTTACAGTTGTATTAAATTTTGCAATTAAATATCAACTAAGTATTATTTCTTTCTCCAACAAACTCGTTATGTCTTCGGAATATTTTTATTGTGACAGTTAAACTGTTTTATTTAATACAGCCTGAAATTCACGATAATATACTGAATTCGGCACGTTTGCATCTATTTTTTATTTTTTTTAAAAAAGGGGTTTTGGTCAACGTCTTGTCAGCCATGTTCTTTACATCCGCCGAAAGTGCTGGCGGCCAATTTCAGTTGTATAAAAAAATAGTCGTCATCGGAAACATTTTCATTTGATAATTTTGAAAAAAATGCACTTTGATCAGGCAACTGCTTTTGTTCTAGTTTTTCAATGCAGTCAATGTATTCATATGGAAAAACTCCTTTAAGAGTTACTAGTTTAAACTGTTCCGGATCAGGATAGTGTGAACGTGTTATTCGTTTGTTGTCATCGTCGAGATAAGAGGCTAATTTTTCAAGGCTAGATGCCATAAATCGATAGGAATCTATCAAACGAAGAGATACGGAAGTATTTTTAACGGTTTTCGTAAATGATATGTAGTGCTCTTTGTTGACAGGAAGTAGATGAATTGAACCCTCGAAAACTGTAGCTAATGATCTAATCAAAAAATGTGAATCGTAACCGGATAGATTATGGAAAACAACGGGAATTGTTTGAGGTTTTTTGTAATTTACATTACATGAAATATGTGCAGGTCCACGATAGTTCCCGGTAAAGTGACAGTGATCATAACACTTGTCTCTCGGTGATATGATCGGTTTTTCACAAATATGACAAGCAGTTGCCTGATTGTGCATTTTTTGTTGTTGTTCTGTAAGTGGCTTTATTTTAATTATATTCTGTGAGTAAGTATTGAATTCATAAGCTAAACTTTCTAGTTTCCGAACAAACCACTCTACACAAGTTGGTGAACGATTAATTTCAAATTTAGATAAGTTATCATTATAGCTACAATGCTGATAAAAAGCTACACTGTGTGGAATGTGCTATCTTGTGTACCATCATCTCCCATGGGTGCAAGTATGCATTCCAAGTCAGCGTAAACAACAAATGGTACCGTATCTTTCTTTTGAAAATTTTTAAATTTAAGTATTTTATGCTCTGCGTCAGGTAAAATCATACGAGCTTTATTTATTTTATAGCAGTCATTTTCATGATTTTCATATGATTTTTCTAATTTGAAATGGTTAAGACAACGATTGCAAATGAAATGTTTATTATGAGATTCTGTTACTTGAGATCGGACAAGTCGGGAGAGATCTAAGATCAAAGCAAAGTGGAATCTTGGTTTTATTTTTTCTAAATCATCATCAAATTGACTGATGTACCATTCAACCATTAAAAGATGAATAGTTTCTTTTTCAGACTTGAATTTACTTAAGTGAATTGGAATAATAATGCTTTTCTTTTTTTTTTTAGAGTTGCTAAATTCCGACTCAATCCCATAAACATTGATTGATAAATTGTTTAGTTTTTCAAAATAAGGAATATTTTTAAATGACATTGGAAATTCAATACCTGTGTATGATAGAACTGAGCTAGGATGAGGATATGAAGATGTTCTAAAATCAAGCTTTTCTGGACCGCATGGATAAAGAGCAGCAACAATACTCCAGACGAAGCAATAGTTGTCCTGATTCATGATGTTGAGTACAGCTTCCTGCTTCTTCAGAATATCACTCGGAAGTTTCAAATAAGTTGAATCACCAGCTTGGAGTGGTGTATACTTCGACATCGTGATGACAAGATTCTTTATTTCAGACAAAGCCCATCCAGAACCTGCTGTCTCAAGCTCTTCAAGTTTTCGTAACATTTTATTGTGTACGTGTTCTGTATACCAGTCTTGAAGAGATGTAGACGATAGAATTTCTGAACTTTTAGCATTGATGGACTTCGTTTCTTCAATAGTTGAGTCAGCTTTTCAATTTTTAAATTTACAGAACCATTCAACGCTGACTTTGAGACCTGCTACTTCTCTTAACATGGTATCAACCTTCTCTATAACTATTCCACGTGAATCTTCGAAGAATGCGCTGGGATCTGTATGAGTTAGATTGATGATGCAACCCGTCTTGATGTTATTTGTAAAGGCATTCTCTAAATCTTGGCATTTAATGCGACGAGGATTTGGGTCTCCACCAACAACTACACCCAGTCGTAGAAACTGAACAGCATACCAGTTCAAATTTGCTATGTGAGCTTGAATACTTCGCCGTACCTGCACAGTAGTCTGTGGATCTTGGAGGATGGTATTGAAGTACTTAATTGTATCAAGACAAGTATGGTTACACCGTTGACATTGGTTTATATTTACAGATCCTTGCTTTAAGACATCAAATGACACAGCAATGGTGTTAACCAAGTTTTGAAGAGCTGTGATGAGAGACATGTTGAAATTCTGTGAAGCAGCGATTTAACTTCGTAAAGATTCGTCTTATAGCACTTGGTTGTTCTTCTCGTCTTGTAGCACTTGGTTATTCTTCTCGTCTTATAGCACTTGGTTTTAACACTTGATTTTAACACTGGATTGTTGTAGACGTTCTTCACTGTATAAGATTCACTTCAATCATGAGAATGCTCGTGAAGATACCCGCATATAGATGCTCATGATTGCATCAGTTTTTTCTTCAACCCCTACCACAAATCATCTTTTGCATCATCTTTTCGAATGTGGCGTTATAACCTCCATCTTGAGACTAGCCATCGCGTCCGTTTGTTGCATCAGTCTTTCTTCAACCCCTACCACAAATCATCTATTTCATCTTTTTTCTGACGCGGCGTCATAACCACCATCTTGAGACTAGCCATCGCGTCTGTTTGTTACATCAGTCTTTCTTCAACCCCTAGCATAAATCATCTATTTCATCATCTTTTTTCTGACGCGGCGTCATAACCTCCATCTTGAGACTAGCCATCGCGTCCATTTGTAGCATCGGTCTTCAATCCCTACTACAAATCGTCTATTTCATCATCTTTTTCTGACGCGACTTCTCCCACCACCACTCGGCACCAACCAATCGCGGCTTTCCACGGCTGAGATTATACAGGGTGTCCCAGAAGTCACGCACTTCCGTGTAGGGATCGAAAGAGGAAATTATTCTGAGACGAAAAGTCCTCAGCCATTTTTTAATCAGACGCATAGATAATTAATTATTAATTAATGAAAGTGACCAATCAGAAGCGCGCTAGAGAAGAATAAAAATTGTGTGAAAAGGCAGTGGGTAATGCGAGAGTGAGACGCTAGAGATGCTGCCGGCTTCGCACACAGTAGATCGAGAGTGGGGACGGACCGACCGTAGACGGCGGACGTACGTGATGCTAGATTAATGTGTGAGACTGTACACTAGTGTACGCAAGCGTTAGTGTGTCAGTAACAATGCGCGTATGAATGTAAGTAAGGATGTTTTTATTAATTGGTTACAGGCACGAAATTTTGTTAAATAAAACGGCGAAAACAGTAGATGTTGTTGGGAATTATAAGAGAGATTTTTATTTAAAAAAATCAATAGCAAGGCTCAAGCAGAGAAACTAGGCCGCAGTTCCAGAAATTTTTTTCTTTTTTTATAATTATTGAAGTAATTATCCATTGAAAAATCAGTAGCGAGGGTCAGTAAGAGGATCTGAACGTCTGTAGCTGATATTTAATTTTTAATTGGAATAATCAAAATAATTATTATTTCAAAAATCAGTTGTAAGGAATAGTAAGAGGCTTTAGGCGGCTGTGATTGAATTTTTATTTTTAATGAAAATAATGAAAATAATTATTAATAAAAAAATCAGTAGCGAGAGTCAGTTAGAGGCTCTGGACGTCTGTAGCTGATTTTTTAACTTTAATTAGAATAATAAAAATAATTATTGATTAAAAAATCAGTAGTGAGAGTTAGTAAGAAGCTCTGGGCACCTAAGACTGAATTTTATTTTTTATTAGAATAATGAGAATAATTTCAAATAAAAAAATCAGTGACAAGGGTCACTAAAAAGCTCTAGACGTCTGTAGTTGATTTTTTATTTTTAATTAAAATAATGAAAATAATTATTGATAAAAAAATCAGTAGCGAGGGATAGTAAAAGGATCTGGACGACATAAGATTATTTTTTATTAGAGTAATAAAAATAATTATTAATTAGAAAATGAGTAAAAATTTAATTTTTTGTTTTAAATACTGGAGTGATTAGCAAGAGTTAGTAAGAAACAGAATCGTCATTTTTATCTACAGAAATTAAGGTAATTATCGATTAAAAAAATTAGGAGCGAAGGTTAAGCAGTAGAACTAGGCAGCCGTCGATGAATTGTAATTTTATTTTGTTAATAACAAATAATTTTAAATAAAAAATTAATGGTTAGGAATAATGTACTGGGCGTCCGATTTCTTTAAGTGAATTAATCAAATCACGATCATTATTGGTGAAATTAAACAATTATTAACAAAGTTCGATCACGTGATAGTCAACAGCTGATTTATTAAGGTTAATTAATAAAATAATAATTATTGTTATCAAAATAAGTCACAGGTTCACTCAAGAGAAACGATAGAAAACCGATAGCCCATTTATTTCGGTTAATTAATAAAATAATAATTATTATTAGTTAAATTAATAAATCATCAACTCGGACGGGTCAAAAGATGTTTAACAGCGGATTAATTCCAGCTAATGGATAAAATAATAATTATTATTATCAAAATAAGTCACAGGTTGACTCAAGAGAAGCGCGAGAGTATCGATATCCCTTGTATTTGGTAAATTGATAAAATAATAATTATTATTATTAAAATAATTCATAGGTCAACTAAGAGGAAACAAGAGAG